GCTGTTCTGTGTGTGGGATTTATATAATGCCTCTGGTATGTGGCTCCTTTAGATGCGGATTGAGGTGTGTTGATGGCTGGCTTTTAAGTCGTTGGCTGTCGGCTGTCGTTTGCCTGCGCTGGCCAACCCTTGCCTTTCAAGTACTTGATAGGTTGGTGGTAAATCAGCACTCCTGTTGACTGACAAGGGGCCTTTTATTTAATGTTCCAGATGAGAAAATTTCATTCTGCCATCTGCATTGTAAAAGCAGCACCTCACAGTTTGTTGTTGTTAGTTGCGAAGTCGTGTCCGACCCATTGCGACCCCATGGACAACGTTCCTCCAGGCCTTCCTGTCCTCTACCATCTTCTGGAGTCCATTTAAGCTCACGCCTACTGCTTCAGGGACTCCATCCAGCCACCTCCTTCTCTGTCGTCCCCTTCTTCTATTGCCCTCAATCTTTCCCAGCATTAGGCCCTTCTCCAGTGAGTCCTTCCTTCTCATTAGGTGGCCAAAGTACTTGAGATTCAACTTCAGGATCTGGCCTTCTAAAGAGCAGTCAGGGTTGATCTCCTCTAGGACTGACCAGTTTGATCACCTTGCAGTCCAGGGGACTCGCAGGAGTCTTCTCCAGCATCATAGTTCAAAGGCCTTAATTCTTTGGTGCTCAGCCTTTCTTATGGTCCAACTTTCACATCCATACATTGCAACTGGGAAAACCATGGCCTTGACTATACGCACTTTTGTTGGCAGGGTGATGTCTCTGCTTTTTAGTATGCTGTCTAGATTTGCCATAGCTTTCCTCCCCAGGAGCAAGCGTCTTCTAATTTCTTGGCTCCAGTCCCCATCTGAGGTGATCTTGGAGCCCAGGAAGATAAAAACTACATCTCACAGTTAAGGACCCCCAATCGTGATGCACCCATTTGAAAAAAACCTGAAGATCTCAACAGATGCAAATCATCACCTACAGCGTCCAAGCACTACAATTACCTCACACTTGTGCAAGAGACACACCCATCACACAGTCTGCTGGGAAGTGTGTAAAAAAAACAAAAAAAACCACCTCCCCCTCCATACCTGCATGGTCTCTGGAACCTGTTCTGCAATCTGGACGTCCATGGGCTCTTCGGGAGCGGGCTGAGAAGGTGCAAGGAAAAGAAGGTATCAAAGTCACGGCAAGTGCACTCTGGGTCTTTCCCCGCCATCTTCCTCTTCTGGACTCTGCTCTGCTCACGCCCAACTTCTTAAGAGGCAACGCACCAGGACAATACGAAATCTTAAACCAGCTTGCAATCATATAGGCCATAACAAATATTTCTTTTTAATTCGGTTTTAAATTAGTTATTTATTGTTGTACTGGTTTTATAACGGCTGTTAGCCGCCCTGAGTCTGGTAAGGAGAAGGGCGGGATATAAATTGAATTAATAAAATAAATAAATAATAAATAATAAAGGGTGTAATTCAGGGGTGTCAAACTCAATTTCATTGAGGGCCGCATCAGCATTGCGGTTGCCCTCAGGGGGCCGGGTGGGTGTGGCCTACTGGGTGGGCGTGGATGGGGTGGGTGTGGCCTACTGGGTGGGCGTGGCCAGCTCTACATCGTTTGCGTCAAGGGTGCCTGTGGGGGCCTGGGCAGGAGTGGGACAGATCTGAGGGTCTCTGGCAGAAGGGGGTGGGACCGGGGCAAGTGCCAAGGCATGGTCCACTGGAGGAGCCTCACTGTTCCTCTCAGGCCATGCGGGGGGGGGGGGGCTTATGGAGCTAAGACCGAATGCATTTCAGCATAAATGGCCACCACAAAATTGTACATTGGCTCCCGGCCGGCCTGGGAACGTTCCCTCACTGTTTCCAGGATGGCTTTGCGGGCCACATGAAACCACTTCGCGGGCCGCATCCGGCCCACGGGCCTTGTGTTTGACATGTCTGGTGTAACTGCAAAGAAGTTGAAAGCTGGTTTTTTTTAAAAAAAAAAAAAGTAGGTAAAAGAGATGCTAATATTTACAGTGATCTCATGTCCTTTATTATAAAGGACGGTCCCTTATTTCCGAAAGCTATCCTTTAGATTTTTTTTTTTTAAAAAAAAAACTCACCAGTGATCTTTATTTAAGTCATTTTTAAAATAAATTGGCACAAAATTTTAAAATAAATTGACTGCTGGAATTGGGTATGTCTTAACGAAGAGAAGGACGAGGGGGGACATGATAGCAGTGTTCCAATATCTCAGGGGCTGCCACAAAGAAGAGGGAGTCAAGCTATTCTCCAAAGCGCCTGAAGGCAGGACAAGAAGCAACGGATGGAAACTAATCAAGGAGAGAAGCAACCTAGAACTAAGGAGAAACTTCCTGACAGTTAGAACAATTAACCAGTGGA